ACACACACACACACACAGACCAGAAGTAAATAATCATGTTATCGTTAATCTTCAATATAGAATAGAATCAGATAGAATAGAAACCTCTGAGCTGTCTGGGGAGGAGATGACCACTGGTTGTCCTCTGTCTGACGTCTCTCTGATGTTCAGGTGAAGAGGAACGTCACCTGGAGGCAGACGGAGATAAAATCAGATGTTGAAGAACAAAACCCACCAAAGATGTGTGTAAGAAATGTTACTGAAATATAATAGTTTAGAAAAACCTTGATATTTACAAAATGCAGAGAATCCAAGAAATGAACAGCGGTGATCCTCTTACCCAATAACTCGACCCCCAGAGTGTCAGCGAGCTGTCGGGCCCCGTCAGAGCCGAAGATGTGAGTCTGGTGGTTACAGTTTGGACACTGGAAGACGCTCATGTTCTGAACCAGACCGAGAACCTGCAGGAACAAAACACAAACAACAAAACATTCTCAACTTCCTGTAACTTCATGCCATCGGTAAATAAAACGAACTGTTTACATTGACACACACAGATTACCGGCACATTAACTTTCTTGAACATCTCGGCTCCTCTGCGAGCGTCCAGCAGAGCGATGTCCTGCGGCGTGGACACGATTACAGCTCCTGCACAACAAAACAAACAAGTGAGACTTCAAACTGAGAAACTTCGCTTGTTATGGTCAATTTGAGACAAGGCAAGGACGAAGCCAAATTTGCAGATATTCCCTCGAGATCTAAAGTGGGACAAAGTGGGGACATCCTGGAGAAAGAAGACTTCTCCCCTGTCCTCAGGTGTAAATTACTGTTTGAAGGTTTAGACTCAGTTTTAGGGTTTAATGGAATTGAGCATATTGTTTAAATGTGTAAATATATAGTGTGTTGTTATTGTGTCTGACCTGCTATCGGGACGTTTTGGGTAATTGACAGTTGGACGTCTCCTGTCCCGGGAGGCATGTCGACAACCAAATAGTCCAACGACCCCCAGTCCACCTACAAATACCAGCAAATACACATGTGAACACACACGTTGGCGCCTTTCAGACCTGGTATCAACATCCGTCCTGAAAGTTCCCATCACAAGTGGACGGCCTTAAGTTCACACCTGGTGTTAAAACGTCTCCTCCGAGTTTACAGATGTGTCCGATCATCATCGTGTTTGTTTGTGTGTGTGTGTGTGTGTGTGTGTGTGTGTGTGTCTGTGTGTCGACAGCAGGTCAGAGACATCAGCTGAGTGGTCAATGTTTCATATGTGGCCCAAGACATTTGTGTTCACACGGTGAAAAGAATGTGGTCTGAGTGATCGGATCTCAGGACATTCAGACCTGAACTTGTAAGGACGGATGTTAACAGGTCTGAACAGTGTCTGAGTCTCTGCTGATGCGACTTCAGCCGGTGCTTCCTTGAAATCAGACAAAGACACAGAATCTAACCTGTCTGAGCATTTTCTCTATCGCTGACATCACCATCAGCCCCCTCCACACGATCGGAGCCACTTCCTCCACCAGGAAACCCATCGACATGCTGAGATAGGAGAAGTAAAAGAGAGCAGGGGGTGAGGTCGGAGGTCAGAGCCGTAGAAAAGTCCGTCGGAACAAGACAAGGAAGAGTGAATCCACTATTTTGTGTGGAAAGACTCACCAAGGAATCCCATAGTTGGTGAGTGGGATCATCAGATTGTCTGGAAGACAGAGAATCATGTTCATCGCATTTATCAACAACTTCTGAGATGTTTTAACTGCACTCAACTATCAACACATTCAAGTCTGAGGATCAGGAGATGTTTGTGTCACAAAGATGGAGGAAGGAGGATAAACTATATGCCGTACTGTCAGTGAGCTCTGGGTTTCCCTTCAGGTTCATCAGTTTGGGGATCGACGGACCGTAGACGTCAGCGTCCAACAAACCGACTGACTTTGTCTGAGAGGAAGAGAAGAATCAGAATTCAGAAGGAAGACAGAGATGTGAACTTCCTGCTGACAGACAGGAAGTGTGTGATTGAGCAGCAGCATCCACACTCATATGTTTTCCAAACCCCATCTACACAAACGTTTCAGCTCTAAATCACCAATAATCTGAAAACACAAATCACGTGACCCTTCACGGCTCATGTGGTACAAACAGGAAGCAGATTGTCTTCTCTGCTGTCGGTTGCTTAGTTACAGAAAACACTACCAACAAAGAAAAGCGGTGGGATAAACTAAGAGCAGGGATTTCTTTTCTGAAACTGGGCCAGCTGAACAGGTCACGTGGCTCAGAGAGAGAGATTCGCAATTTACCAAATTACCAAAGAAAATAAATGCATGATGAGAGAGGAGTTCTTACAGCATCGTTGGCCATTAATCCAAGTGCCAGATTCACTGCAGAGACAAAAAAAAAAATACAGACCATAAAACACCTTGGACTCCAACTGAACACAGCAGCCTGGTTAAAATGTGGTTCAATAATAATGTTCCACTTCAAAAGATCTGTAGATGCGCCTCACTGAGCTCTACTGCTGCAATTCCATACATTTGAACGAGTAGAAATTAAAAATGAATACAAGAAGAATAAAATGAAGAGGGTTTCATTCTAAAACATTGCATACACTCATGTGTTTGAAAGCTTTGGCTGTTTGCTGTAGAAGAATGAAGTTCAAGAGATTGCTGCTGCACCTGCTGTGGTGGACTTGCCCACGCCACCTTTCCCCGAGGCCACGACGATGACCTGTTTGACTCCTGTGATCGGCTTCTGTTTGGGGAGACCTCTGGACATCTGCTGCTTCTGCCTCTCCTGTAAGTTACTGTCCGCTGACCTCTGCAACACAACAACAATCACATTCACAAAACAAGACAAGACCGGGAACACAGGGGGAGCTGCTTTACATTCAGGGGCTGGATGATCAACTTGAAAAAAAAATGAATTAAACTGCGGCTCTTTTATTGTCTACTGTTCAAAATAGGCTTCTAGATAAGATGTTAAATCTGTTCCAGTCATGTGTCAATGGTTCAACAACATGGCTTAAACCAGATGTATTACATATTATTATTATGTGATTCGTGAAATATGAATTAAGCCATTTTGATTGCAATATAAATTAATTTTATCGAGTCTTATGGCATTCGTACTAATTAAAACCCCAACAGTTGAACTTATTCACCAAGTTATTCGCTAGTGAGACTATTTGCGTCACAGTTCTTTAAACTTGTTTTTAATGCCAGAGTCACATGTGGTTGAATACAAACATACTTCCCGTTGTATGATTCAAAATAATACTCAAGGCTTTACAAAGAGCAACGATAAATAAATAATATCTTTAGTGTCACGTCATGGACA